AATAAGTGACCACATAGAATATTTCCCGCTTGTAAGCATGTAGGCAATCAATGTCATTGATTATTCCATATTAAATACCCTCCCTGAGCCACGAAACTTTGTGGATTATTCGTTTTCTTAACAGTTTGCATTTTTAATTATCCATCATTTATGATAGTTGTATAGTGTTGAGTGTCATGTTATATATAGCCATGACACACAATACTATACAGTACTATGGACCTGATGGTATTTATTCCGTGCTTCATAAAATATAAACTATTCATGATTCCACGGATTATTAAAAGGGTTTCTAGGCCAGTTTAATCGCGCAACACTCTCTCACACACTTCTTACTTGAAATTTGCGGAAAAGGATTCGCCTGCGACGTACAAGTAGTCAGCATCATTCGTCATTCTAATTCATTAAAATACTCGCCAACTTTCGAAACTGCAAAATTTTATATTCGTATTCACGGCATCTCCAAAAAGAAAAAAAAGAGAAAAAAACCGCATGCGTTCACTTCATCGCTGAGAAAAGTAACATTTGACGGCACCGAACTGTTCGCTTGAGACCTATAGTCCATGCGCGCATGTAGCCCGTAAATGCAGTAACTGAACCCCGGTTCTAAAATCAATGCACGTCAATGCGAACGGAAGCAGAAATAATACACGAGTTCAGTGAGCCCTTGCCACACGAGTCGGGTTTCTTTCGCGGGGCGTCCACGGTGTGCTCGCACTCGTCGGCGGGCGGCGTACAAGTGCGCCGGCCCCTGCAGCGTATGCGGCGAAGGCATGTGCCGATCCCGCGCGCCGCGGCCTCGACGCCACTGCTGGTCTCTTCCGAACAGGTCCGGCAACCTTTCCCCGGTTTCCTTCTTCTTCTTCATTTCGTGTATGGAAGAAAAGAATTGATTTTTAAAAACCGGGGGGTTCCGTCAGATGTACATACCATATATTTCTTCGACGAAACACGATATAAAATCACCACCCCCCATGTCGAAATTTTCTTGCAAAAAGAAATCGCGTGCGTCTTAGGATGAATGGTATCTCAGAGTACGTCCATTCAGTATTTGCTCAAGTATAGCAGAGCAGCAAGAGCAGAGATACAATTTGAGTCATCTTAATAAAAATACTTAAGGCATCAGATATTACTGTTCGATCCATAAATATGTGCTATTGTGCTTATTTGGCAGCAGCAGTGTATGCATTCATCCTTGTTCTTGAAATTACTCGATCTTCTTGGTCTTTAATCCCCCTTGCACGTTACACGTGTACAGTAAAGAGGAAATCGTGCGAAAATCTTTCTACCGGAATTTCTTCTCTTGAAAAATCCCGGTTTTCTGGATGAAAATCATATAATCCAAAGCAATTTTGTAGCTTCTGAAAGCCTTCGAGTTACGCAGAATACTTCGTTGCAAGTTGAAAAATTTCCGAGCATCGCCTGCTCGTACGTCAACAATCTCAACAAACGAGCGGTGCTTCTCGTGCTCCACACAAACCCAAGTTAGTACAGTATACAGTACATGTGCTTCGATCAATTGCGTCTTGTGTTTAATTTAATTTTCGCCCAGCTACGAAAGAACGCTAACGCAAGAAAATTGGCCTGAATTGGATTGACAGCGCAGGGAAAACAGAGCCTGTGACATTTTCACCTCTTATATGCAGCAGTATTGGTGCGATTAAAGGAGTGTACATACTGTATACAGATTAATGTTAAGATGATGTAGAGAAACATGATTGTCCAATTTTTTTGTGTGCGCACTGTCCAGTATTGAAATTATTGGAAAATCACGTCTCAACTCTCAAGAACAGTAACAGGTGCGATCATACCTTTTGCTTCCAATAATAAGTGCTTGCTGCGGGTTGATTACTGCATCCTTTTCAACTCGAACGGAAAAAAATTGAATATGCCCGAACTCAATACTGTATCTGTATAATATGGATTAAAATATTATATTCTGGTCCTCGATCTCTATTTCGAGCCGATTTCTGATCTGAAATCGGTTTCATCGACTATAGTGATGCTTAATAAGGATAATTTCGGACCACTGCAGGCAATTGCCTGGCTGTCGTGATTTCCTGAGGATCCAAAAACGTCCTTCTTTGCAGTAATAGTGCCCGGAATGCGGAATCCACGAACACTGAATATTTAGAATATTGAGTTATTCTATCTGGGAAACCAGATTGCACGGAAGCTAACGCAAGTAAAAGATTTTTCTTTCGTCGTGAAATAAGCTTCTTTTACGTAGTGGTTACATACATAATTATAATTTCACGATTCCTCGCCTTATTATTCTCAATGACTGTATACAGTACAGCAGTACTATATATTGAATACCAAGTGACGATTGAGGTTAAAGCGCGCCATATACGAGTATACACATACTGTACAGTATTTATATTGAGAGAATGCTAGCAACCGATTGAACATTTCAGTGGTACTCCCATAACTATTGTCAGTAGTCAAACCTAATTACAATGCCGATGAATAGCATAGTACTGTACATACAGTATAAGGCGTAGAATCCTCGCCAAAACAAAGACTGTACTCTGTACTGTACTGCACTGTTTTTGCTTTTAGAGGGCAAGGAATTGGTTGTGTCAGCTTAGCGTGTAATACGAGTACAGTATGGCAGTTCTTTCGTCACCGAATACGCGTGCGAGACGTCAAAATGTGACCACGCTCAGCTGAACGAACGACGGGTGTCACAGAAAACGACCCGCCGTGCTATTCAATCGTTCATTTCCTGCACATCGCATTTCGGAGATTTGTGTTCTCTTGAACTGCGACATATTCGTGATGCAATCTTTATATTTTCAACTCAAATCGTATCAAGACCGAACAAATTTCGAATCATGTACTGGTCATGAAGATGGCATTAACTTATTGCTGCGTATATAAGGACGCAGGACAAACGTTTTAGTTGAATAATTCTATGAAATAAATAATTACGCGCTGTATTCCACGTTAAAAATTGAACCGCTTTGCACAATTCACACGATTATTCCCAAAAAATCGGACATAAGCAAACTATCAAATACTTCAGCAACAAGAAATTAGTAGAAATCCGTACAATTTTCTCGTGAGACAATTTGACAATTTATAAACGAAAAATGTAATAACTTTATATTATCTAAAAAATTATGATGAAAAGTATCGTTTCTTCAAAGTAAGTTGTAGTGCGTGTGTATGCTATAAAAAGACAGCTATACAATACGCACAAATTTTCTATAATTAAATACTGTATACTCCCCATAGCACAATTTCAAGAGTATCTTTTCTCTAAATAATTTATGATTAACAGTTACAATTAAAATTAAACGAAGGCATTTTCTTGTGAATAAATTGAATGACTCTTCTCTCTTCATACACGCTTCTGCTTCTCTTGCAAATGCTTGTCATGTTTATCGATTACAACCCAGGGTGCTAAGGCATTCGGCTAAATAGCTGAAAGAACTGCTGGGATAAAATGAGTGATGTCACAAAGGAACCCGCTTATATAGAAAACATTTATTCACACACGTAAAATATAAGCCATTTATGTAACTTCACGTTTCATATGCAGCGCAGTATAACAGCACACATCTGTACTGACACATTTTGCAGAAAACTACTTGAATGGTTCATCACACTGAATTACAAATTGCAGTGCTGTGATAATAAGGAGCCATCTCCTCAGAACGGTAGGCCGCTCTTCAAATATTTCGAAAAAGTTGAAAAATCAAAACTTGTCAACGTTTTAACATTAGAATTCATCATTCTGCAAGCTGGAGTTTTAAATGTGCATCATCATCGAAGGATGTTCAAGTAAAAAGTTAGAAGAACTCTGTCATAAAATTTAAACCCAAATCCAAAGAACCAGGCCGAGTCACGCGTCGTGTTCGAGAGAGAAAGAGATGACATGCTTCTTCATGATTATGCCATTTTTTTTAAAGTTTGTTATGTCTTCACTATAGTAATACTGTATATGGGAGTCAAAATTCCATATTATTTGTGAAGAGTTCCGCGCGAAATTCTGTGCGAAAAATAATCCGGATTGTATATGAATTCGGTGAGGTGTGATTCGTGTGAATATTATTGAAGGACACGATCGCGAATATTAATGTGTACTGACGCATATAATTACTGCTGCAAAGTATTACGGTGCATCACATCAATTATATACAAACTGCAATTAATCCACTGCTGCGGAGTTAATACTGTACAATTGTACATTAATGTGGTTCAAACTTGATGCAGTGTTGAATGGCGAGATTTCCTCGTGTTTTTAAGGTATTAATGGAATCCATTGCAGTACTCGATATTACGTTTTATTACGGTATTCTAATACTGTATACAGTTGCTTTCTCGCTGTCATTTTAAATCGAAATCTGAACATTTACCATACTAATGTACCGTAGTTGAAATCTCAACACGAATACATTCGTGCGACACCTTTTGTTCATATGTATAACTTTAGGAATCTAACCTTAGGAATTGGAAGGTAGTGCGCGAAAAAAATAATGCGAGATACGCGGGGGAGGAGGACACCTGGGCAAGAGGAAGCTGCCTGTCCCATTCAGATTTTAGCACCACCTATGCTACAGTGTCCTCCCCAAATACCCCAATGGAATATTACCAACTGTGTTCAGTGGTTGAAAACTCGATTGGCCTAAGCATATTCATTGTGAATTCTGTCGTGGAGGAACACATCGGTTGAGACGCGAATCGCGTGAACAACTTGCGAGTGTCGCCTTTGTGGTGAATCAGTCAAATTATTCGATGTCTTCAGCTCTATCATTTACATTTTTAAAGAGAACTTCGGCGAGTGGTGTGGTTTGTCAAGTGCCGTCACAACTGTGCTCGTGGATGAAGTAAGATGAAACAGTATTTACCGTTTAAATCTGTGTGGTTATCTCTCCTCGCATCAGTAGGAAGATTTTTTCTATTCTGATCTTCGACCTCAATAATCGTACCGTCGTTCACATAGGCGTGCACCTCACGGGAGAATCACGTGATAAGCCTTCTGATTCTTTTCCAGACCCAAATTTATCTCGCATCTCTTCCTGCGAGCGTGGGGTGAAACCGTGATTTCGCCTACAGTAATCAAATCGCGGTGACGAGCTCTCGGCCTGGGATCATGGCGCTACTTCACGATTTCATTTATTTGGGCTCGCTGATTTTCTGCATAGCCTTCGGCGAAGTTTTGAGGAAGATCAAAAATCCTGAGAAGCGGAAGCTTGTTGCTACATTCCTTGGTGTTTTGATCGTCTTCCTTCTATCCGGGACCTATATCATTCATCCGATTTTGATGGTGCTTGTCAATGCTACCATAATAACTTATGTTAGCCAAAGGTATGCTCTTCAAGAAAAACTTATCGAGTGATCACTCATGTTATCTTCGCCTTCCAGATGGTGCCACGTCGCCAGTTTCTTCTTCAGCTTTTCGTACCTGATATTTTGCCGAAGTTTCTGGTATCTTGGCCTGAGCGAAATTCCGGATTTTCTGAATGCTGTCGTTATGCTGCTCACCTTGAGGGTCGTCGGTTTGGCATTCGAGAAAAATCGAGGGCCCTCGGAGAAACATGATTACCCTTTCCCAAATTTTATTGATATCGTTCACTACTCATGTTGCTATATCGGCGTGCTTACGGGTAAGTTTGTGTGAGTGCTCTTACTTTATCTCTCTGAATTTTTCGAAGAACTTTTCTTTTACCATTTTACAGGTCCGTATTTCCGATATTCAGCGTACTACGATATGCTCTATTCTGAGCATACGTCTCGAGTCTCCTGCCGAGAAGCGATGCTAAATCGCATGATGTTCGTCCCCATGTATTTGGTTCTGTTTTTTCTGACGAACTACCTATTCCCTGTAAACGTAAGTACCGTAAACTGAAATGGAATATCCGAATTCTTTTTCATACACGTTGTAATCTTGCTGTGAAAATAAACGGTCAATATCTGATGGTTGTGCTTTTTACAGACGGTGGAGAGCGAAGAGTTTTCCCGAAGGTCGTGGCTCTACAAGTTCATATTTTCGAATGCCGTGTTTTTCACCTTCCGAATGCGGATGTATTCAGCTTTCATTATTTCTGAGTGTGTCTGCATAAACGCGGGGCTTGGAGCATATCCGAAGAAATTTGAATCCAAAAGTGGTTTGGGCCCAACTGCTCGAACGAAAGAATTGTAAGGCAATAATTTGAGGCTACAGTATTTATGCATTTATAATTGAATAATTGTTTTCTGCGTCACAGGTCTGGCGAGGAAGAATACGATTTTGAAACTGTGAAGAACATAGATGCGTATGGATCTGACTTCGCTCCCACTGTCCGAGAGGGTATGCGATGGTGGAATATGACGGTGCAGTACTGGTTAGCCGTTAATATCTACAAGGGCTTGGCGGGATATCCCAAAGCATTTCGTGTTGCTGCGACCATGATGGTCTCCTCGATTTGGCACGGTGTTTATGCCGGTTATTATCTTTCACTTCTCACGGTGCCATTCATCATGGTTGTGGAAGACCTTTACGAGCGTAGACTTCGTAACCGGCTGTCCGAAACGGTGAGTTCGTTTACTCCCTAGAACGTATTCCAAAAAGTTTCTGTGCTTTATCTTGAAGAATTTTTTTTTCTTTTCAGGGTAAAGCTGTGTACGATTGGGTTTCTTTGGCGTTGAAGATGCAATGGTTCGCGTACATGGGCATGGCCTTCCTACTCCTACGCGTTGATAAAACTCTGCATTATTGGTCATCGGTTTATTTCGCGGGGCACCTGTTGATTGTCTTCCTGTATGTTCTTGGTAGAATTGCTTTCCCTAAAAAAGGCAAAAGTAAGATTGAAGATGAGGAAATCAAACGAGAATTTGGAGACGTTCGTAAAGCCGGCTCTGCCATTAATGTCGACGAGATAAAACAGTCGACCGTCGTGAAACATCTGAAGAGAGCTGCTGTACAAGAATGAACTCACGTAGATGCGCATTCCAGATCAGCGGCTATCGATCTTTTTGCTGTCAAACTTTGAGCTCAAACTCGTTCACGACGAAGGCTAGCTTTCGTGAGGAACCTTTTCACCAAAAACTATTGTACTTATTGTTGTGTATGTTGATTTTGGGAGTTTCTTCGGAAGGACAGTGGCTGAATTAGGGGTTGTGGACGCGGTTTTTTTTTTTTTTGCCCGTGTTCCCGCTGGAAATATTTTTTTCTATATTCTTCTCAATTTTGCCCTCATCTTCGATTTTCTGGATTAATTATTTCACCGAAATTTTCCACCATAACAGATTACGAAGACTTACAGTTAATCGTCCTCAATCCTTTCACGTTGTTTGTAAAAATTTCCTCATCTGTTGATCCTGTGGATACGACAAATTTGAGCAGGCAATAAGATGATTCAAAGGATTAGTCTGTGTTCCAGAATTCGATCTATTCGATTCGCCAAATTTGCCTGCGAAGTTCGACAAATTTTGCCATTACATAATTTTGGGAGGGAGAAGTGGAATTCTGTTATTTTGGACGCCATAGAAGTGTTGCAATGTTCTGCGTCGATGTTGTTTCATGTGTACATCAGGATTGTGATAGAGAATCATGTCTTATTCTACGTTGGGAACTTCCTATGAGCATTTTTGAATGCTTTGATACCTGATCTAATCATCTAGCTGATTCTAGTCCCACGGCTTTTTTCTGTGATGCCTTCTTATTGTAGTTTTCGGCATAGTTCTTGTTTTAGATTCGTCGCATTGCTTTTTCACAAAGCTCCTTTTAAAATCTGGGTTTCAGTCAGCTTGATGACAGATGATCGTGAACAACAGTGAGGATTAAAAACAAAGATTTGTCTCTATTTCCTCCTCCGAGTTATTAATTCAGTCTTGGCGTGTTACAACTTCGTGTAAAGTGCATTTCATGAATGCCGTTGCAGGTGACCAATGGGTACTTCCAGTGGTCATTCTCGGTAAAATGAATTAATTAGCAAGCTTTGATGTGTCTCCTAAATCCTATAAATTAAATTACAATATTCAGAATCACCTCCTGCACTTACGAGGTCTACCTTTTAACTATCGATGACCAATGCAAAAATTGAGATCCATTTGGCTAACAATGTCGACTATAAGTTCGATTTTGAAAGATCTTGATTCGGCAGCATAATTTCCCAATTTCCCATTCTTTTTTTTTTTTTTCCACGCCGGACAGTTTCATGGGGTAGTCCAGCACGCGCTTTAAGAAACCCTTTTCCGACGTAAACCAAAATTGGAGAAATTCTGTGAAACATTCTTGGGCGAACTCAAGGCTGTTCGGGCAATCTGTCTGGTGCGTTCAAAAGACTTTGTGGTGAGCTTTGATGAAAAGGCGTTCAAGTTGAGATGAACTGAGTTTCCTAATTTTTTTCTTCAATTCTAGTTGCATAGCTGAAAATCTATTTTTCAACTCTTTTTGTTATGCAGGAGTCATGAACTCTACTAATGCGTGTGGTGACCGAGTTATACCTCTGTATGACACATGTCTTCATGCTGTGGCGGACAACCTGAAAATAATACGCGATGTGAGGGATATTCCTCAGCCTGTTTTATCTGATATCATAGGTGCTGCCATTCGAAGAAAAAGTTCAGTTTTTCGGAAAGGAGGATCGTCTTACTCATTTGTTTCTGAAGTGAAGAAGAAGCATGTTGCTTTGATGCCCCAGTCGGTAGTGCTGAACATGCATTTGGAGGACTTGAACGAATTTTTCAGCTGCTTTGAGCTTGCAGTAGAAAATCTGACCGTCCTCACGGTTTGTGGACTTGATCTCCGTAATCACGATTTGTGGTCGGCGCTTGGACACGGAAGCAAGAAGTATGTGCTCGTGGAAACGTATGTTGTTGAAATGTTCGTTATCCCTTTAATTGAAAAATATATTACAGTCTCCTCGAGTTTTATGTGAGCTTGTGCGCTTTCGGAGATCAAGACTTGAGTCGGTTTCGAATATCTACATCAACACACAACCGTCCTCTTCAACGTTTGAATATTCAAGGTTCAGTATTTGTGACCTGCGTTTTTCAGCGAACAGTACCAGTCATTGCTTTTTGTGTTCGTTTTTCTTTCCAGGATCAGCGGTCTCAATTGGCGTTATCGCTCGACTGCTAAGGTCATTTTCGAGGCTGAATTATTTTTGCTTTGAAATGACGAGTGGAGATTCATGTGAAAGCCAGGTAAATTTCGTTATTTTACTTGTTAATTCATGTCAGTCATAATACAGTACTTGATTTTTATGTCTTCCGAACGTATATCCTGGTGGACTCTATAATGAAAGGATGAGGGTATACACAGTACCAATGTTGGCAAGCTGTATCCATTTCCTTATGAAAAATATTAAATCATGTGCTTATTGCTAAAGTGAATGTTTTGATGGTCTGAACACGTTCGGTATAAGCGGATTTCAGTACAGTACAGTATATGACGATTATGGGATTGTTCAATTTATGCAGGAGTTTTATGAATTGAGACGAAATCTTGTCCTGTGGACTCGACTGGAAGGAGCTCAAACGTGTGATATACCTTTCCCTGGCATTCCTGCGAAAATCATTCCGCCTTGCAGTGACCTAGCTTTGTTGTTTCTTCATGATGCTAGTAAGTGAAGTGCTAGTTGCGTCTGTGAGATTTTTCTAATCATCATATGTCAGCAGCTCTCGGCGGAAAGCGGTCATCTGATGAAGCGCGTGATTTCCACCGACGTAAGCTTCCGAAATCGCATTAGTTTTCTTGTGCAGAATATTCTTATTCATATCTCTGCGTAGAAATTCAATGCACGCAGGCATGTTTTGTGCTTTTACCGGATGGCATTGAACCTATTGGACGTGACAAATGGTCAAAGTTGAAGGATATTTCATCTTCGCGGCGACCCAAAGATTGTGGATTGAAGTTACGAAGCGCTGCGGGAACCCGACGGTTTTGAGAGATTTTGGAAAAGAGTTAATAGTCCTGAATTTCTCAACTACGTACTGTACTCTATAAAAAGTAGCATTCCAGAAGAACTTGCGGAAAATTTTTCGAAGGCCGCCCTATAAATTAATTTCAGTATCAGGACGCAGTATAATGGTTGAAGAGCCTTTACATAGTTATTTCTATATTGAAACTATATTTTTTTCATTTCGCCTTCGCCTCATTTATTGTGCTCTCCGAGGTGTAAAATCGAAAGGTCCAAAATTTAAATCATTACCGACTTGTGCTCGGGTTGACTTGTGCTGGTATTCTTCCTAGATTAAAATTATACCTTTTAATATTTACGTCGCCCATCAAACTGCCGTCGGGAAACTGAACAGAATGGGTGAGTTCAATCCTTGGAGTCGATTTATAATGAAAATTACAGAAGGCTCATGGAATTTTCATTCTTGAAGGTATAAAGGTGTACTTGTCAGTCAGTCCCGTGGGGAGTGGAACGATGAGAAAAACGGACGAGCATAATTTCAGAAAAAGAATTCGAATACATTGGCTTGTTGTTCCCGCTGAAGTTGCAGCTGTAGGTCCCAAGATGTTCGGCAAGATCATTTCTGTAAAGAAACCTATCGTGGTTGATGATGAACCCCGAGACGGAGATTTGATCGGATTATTTGCGCGAGCTCCGCGCGATTGGTCAAGCTGCGCACGTGATGAATCACCATGCGGCGGCGATTCACAATTGCTGCCTATTTGGAAGAAAAGAGCATTAGAAATTTATGATCCCATGAAGTTCAAAGATATGCTTATTGTGACAAAATATCAGTTGAAGGAGTTCGAGTTCTACAATGCTGATCTAAAAAAATCGCGGAACATGGGATTTTACTGTGGATATTTCAGGTAATGCTTTCATTTTTTACCTTGAAGCTATATGATTCTGGCGTTTCGTAATTGGTCGACGATTGTTCATTGTTTTGTAATGGAAGTGTCTTCCCCCGATTCTCAATGTTGAGTAGTCCGTGTTTTAAAACGTTCCACATTTATTGCCGAAGCTTCAATTTTTTTATACTGCGTTGACGTCTATTAGAGAAGTAATTTTATAATAGTTTCCTTTAATATAAGAAATGACAGAGCGAAGAGAATAAATTTCGAGGGATGCAGAATTGCTCTGAAGAGCATAATTCAGGATATGGCATTTTTGAAGTATTTATGCTTCGGTTATCCCTGTCGGGCTAGGGGAAGCCGATTATTAGATTGTTGGGAAGAAGCCGCCGGGGGTGAAGTGCGGGAATTCAGTACCGGATTATACGAATTAAAATGTCCGAAATCCGTCTTGGTAAATTTTTCATCGAGTCCTTCCTTTTAGGAATGGGCGTGTACTGTCTGTCGCTAGTCTATCCACTCATCCGACCTGGATGAAAGAATTGGAAACGTGCATAGGTCGGATACCCCTTCGAAATCTGATGATCCCCGGAACGCATGGATCTGGATCGTACCAGAAATACCATGGATCTGCTTCGGAATCTTTATTCGTCAAGTACGCTATGACGCAAGAAGAAGATATTTTAAATCAATTGATGCTCGGAATTAGGTGATCAGAGTATTTTCTATTTTCTGCATTCCTATTAAACTCCGAATTAAGTGTGTACATGCGAAGAATGTCGTTTCTTGTTGGATTCATGAATGACGATTAATCTGATCAGGTACTTAGACTTGCGAATTGGCTACTATTCCACCGCTACGCCAAATTCGACCGCATCCGATCCCGTGGATTTTTTTTGGCTGAATCATGATTTCCTCAAAATAAACAAGCTGCGACCTGCCTTAAGAGCCATTAAAAAGTTTATTTCCAACACCCAAGAAATAGTGATTCTCGATATTCACCGATTTCCAGTCGGTAATTTCGACAGTTTTCCGGAACGACATGAGCGCCTGATAGATATCCTTGTTTCCACTTTTGGTCCGTGGATGGCCCCACGCTCCATGGGTAACGGTGTCACCCCCAACGATTTATGGAATTGTGGTGAGTTTCTATCTCGTTCATTAGTTTTCGTGACACCCTTCGTCAAGTCCGGAATGCTCCGTCTAGGAAAGCGTTTGCTTGTCGCCTATAATCATTCTTGTCATGTGAAATGTGAGCTACTGTGGCCCGGAATCCCTCGACATTGGGGCAATACGAATCGGATGGATTCCTTGGAAAGCTTCATGGATTCAACTTTTATAAGATCTAAGCACTCAGATTGCATGTGGACCATATCCGCTGCATTGACGCCATCGTTTTGGGATGTCGCAACAGACCGGCTGAATGGATTACGTACTGCTGCGGACTCGCTCAATCATCATTTATCAAAATGGCTGAAAACGAAGTACGCCACTTCGGCGAACATCGTTGCGGTGGATTTTTTCCTAAGCTCTGACGTGATAAGAACGGCCATTCAGTGCAACCTTCTACGTTCTGAACTGCAGCTGTTCGGTGGGAGTCAGACTGAGGTGGACGATGAAATTGATGCCTTCCGAAAGGACGTGATCGTACAAGAAAATGTGCTTCAAGGCGCTGACAAATGAAGGGATGACGCTTTTACCAAAAAATCGTTGAATCAATTTTTTCAACAAAAAAGTGTTGGTTCAAATGGAATAGAGTTTGTGATAGCAATGTAACCCTCGTTGAAGAGATCCAAATGTTCTCGGTTTATCATGCTTGCATCAAATTCGTCCGTTTGCAAAAGAAACTTTTTCTTTTTATTACCGTAGCTCTTAATTCTTTGAGAACTTCTATCGCCCACTGTAAAATGTTACAGCAATGTTGCATTGAAGAAGCTCTGCATGGTTCTGAGTATCCTAGCTTGCTTCACGACGAGATTATGTATCTGAACGACGTGAGATCGAAATGTCCGAAAAGTGAATTATTTGAACCTGCTTCTTTAATAAGAAAAAGAACATACCGGTATGTGAATTAAACTGTTGTCAGACCCTACAGATCTTAAATTTGCAGACTTGAATTCGAGTTTGAAGTGAACAATTTTTACAAATAGACCACATTTGTAAAAAAAAAAAACGAAATGAAAGTGGTTCTTAATAGAGATTCATGAATACGGTACTCAAACTCTTATTTTTATTCGTCTGTTCATTGCACATTTTGAGATAACTCTTGCGTGGAAACCTTCAGCAGCGTCTTGCATTACATTTTTATTTTGAAACTTGAGGCGCGCGAGGGATCCGTAACATGAATGGGTATTCATGCTTCATTTGCTGTAGCTAAAGGTCTAGCTTATTTTGGAATCAATGTAACTAATCGTTCAACTATTCTACTTATGCCACGCAAGTGTTGTGTCTCGCGAATCAGCGCACCAGTGTGATTTTTATTGGCCGTGATGTTGTTGAGTTAAGTCGATCTTTCTTTCATCCTGCACGTATTTCGTGTAGTCCTGATGGTGCAGAAATGCGGGAGAAGTCTTCGCTACTTCTGGTGAACAGAATTTTTTTTATATTCATTCGCGCCGAGAAGCTGTTGATCATATTACTGTACATTCGTTTCGCCAGCGGTGATTGATGATGCTGTGACGTAACTAGCGATATCGCCGGAAGAGGTATAGCGGATCGATCACGTGCTCAAACTCTAAATATGTCTTCGGGTCGATCGTGTGATCATCGCTGGAATTTTCGCGTGTCCGAGGCATCCCAAGTGGTTCATTTTTTGGTCATTTCCGCTGACTTTTCTTCGATTTTTTCTGCAGGTTTTTTATTCGTTGATGTCGTGCCTCTTTACAAAGGGCATGGCCTTATTAAATTTCAGTGAGCGGCGATATGAAACCTTTTTTGTGTCTTGCGATCATTTCCATGACTTCGTCCGTTGGATCAACTCCGTCCCGTCAGTTTCGTGATATTTTGCATGTGCGTGAGGATGAGTTCGAAACGAAGTACTCATACTTTGCGGAGTCGGAAAGACTCCGTATGGTGCAAGCCGCAAAAGAGATGTTTTATTTTGGTTACGACAACTACATGACTCACGCCTTCCCTCTAGACGAACTCAATCCCATCCTCTGCTCTGGAAGAGGTCCAGACTACGAAAATCCGTTAGTTATAGGGGTATGAGATCATTTTCATTTTTGGTGATAGCCGCTTTTCGCAGATCCAATATCAATATCAATGACGTTCTTGGAGATTATTCACTTTCACTTTTGGAATCTCTCGGTACGTTGGCGATCATGGGAAATTCTACAGAATTCCGAAGAGCTGTTGGATTGGTTATACAGCACGTGAGCTTCAATAAAAACAACACCGTTCAAGTGTTTGAAGCCTCTATACGGTAAGTTGACAAGACTGTGTGAGGAAAATCTAAGATAATCATAATCTTCGAGCGTTAATTTTTTCTGCATACGAAAGATTTTTTTGAGCGAAAGTCAGCACGGTTTTCTTTCTTTTGTATCTGAATGGTAAATACAGTGTCCGATGACAATCGATATTTTAAAGATGAGTACTTGTAAATCGACTTGGTATTTTTCTTATGAATCACATACGATTTATAAAACCTATTTTTTTCTCCTACTTTTGATGAAGAAAGTTGTCTACTTCTTACACCTTTCAGTGTGTTGGGTTCTTTACTCTCCGCTCATTTGCTCATTGAGGAAAGTGGCGACGCTTTCGGTGATCTACGACCGTCATACTACGACGGCGAATTGTTGGAACTTGCTTTGGACCTTGGATCGCGACTTCTAAATGCTTTCGACGGAACGAAAACTGGACTACCTTATCCAAGAGTATGTTTTATCGTTTCTCTTGTCGTAGGAATTATTTTGAGTATAATGAGCATTCTGTCGTGTCCTAGGTGAATCTGTGGGGCGGAGCGCCACAAAATCAAAGAACTGATACATGTACAGCAGGAGCAGGTTCACTGTTGCTTGAATGGGGCATTCTCAGCAGGCTTTCTGGTGATCCGTCTTATGAATTTGCTGCCCGTAGAAGCTCACGAATCCTTTTCAATTTACGAGCGAAATCAACTGGTCTTTTGGGTGAGGAGCAGCGGAGCTTTCCTAAAATTATTAATTTCGGTATCTCATTTTTTTCAACTTCTGTGTCTCAAATTACCTTCCAAGAAATGCTAAACTCGGTATATTTTGGGTTTAAACTTGCATTTCTGTGTTCGAAGTTGTTTAACTGAAGTAATCTGTCGACTTTTTATTTATCGCGTGTGTTGAGCTTACTTGCCTGTACAGTACATTCAGTATTTTATATGTAATGTATAGCCATGCTTTATTTACAAACCCTTATGATGTTCGAATTTTGTAGGTTATTTTCTTGAATTGTGATTTGTAATGCCTCTATATACAATTTTGAGGCATGAAAATGCGTCGTATTCGGTGCATAGAAAAATATCGATTTAATTTTACATTTATTGTGTTTTCTAGGAAATGTTGTCGATGTGATGAGTGGACAGTGGATAAGCAGGATGAGTGGCGTTGGGGCTGGAATGGACTCTTACTTCGAATATTTATTAAAGTCTTACATTCTCTTTGGAGAGCGTGAAGATTGGCTGATGTTCAACGCATCGTATACCGATTTAAAACGTTACCTTCGACGTGGGTGAGATAGGATGCCTACCGTTAATTTCACGTTATTCGTCTTCAATTGCGTTACATTTTTAGGAGATCTCATTGTAATAACGGTTTCGGAGATCATCCTATTTACGTCAATGTGGATATGAGCAATGGATTGACCTCCACCCCCTGGATTGATTCATTGCAAGCTGCGTTCCCAGGAATCCAGGTTCTAGCTGGTGATGTGGAAGAAGCGATTTGCGCGCATGCCTTGTACTACACGATATGGAAACTGTATGGAGCGCTTCCCGAAAGGTTCAATTGGCAGAAAATTGCGCCGGAAGTGCACTTCTATCCGCTCAGGCCTGAACTAGTCGAATCCACGTATCTCTTGTATCAAGTACGTATAGTACAGTACTCATATTGACATGTAGTATCCAAGTTCTAAATATTAAACGAATGCTTTAGGTCACGAAGAATCCGTTCTATCTTCATGTTGGGAAGGATATCCTTGTGAGTTTGAACGCCCATACGAAAGTCAAATGCGGGTATGCAACGGTGCATAACGTGCTGGATATGACACTTGAGGATAGGATGGAAAGTTTTTTCTTATCCGAAACATGCAAATACTTGTATCTTCTGTTCGACACGGATCACTATGTGAATAAAAATTTTCGGGACTTCCTGTTTTCCACCGAGGGGCATATATTTCGTATTCGGCCTGAGTACCGCCAGCTTCCGTGGAGTGATCATTGGAAAAGTCCAGACGAAGAAAGCGTCTCCGCGCAAGAGAAAGAAATGCCGATAAATTCTACGGAGCACTCCACGGTTTGTTGAATACATATTATTTATTAGTGGAATTTTTTTAAATCAAAATTTTCTCTTCCCAGTGCAACAAAATTTCGCCGGAGCGACAGTACTTGCCCCCACTGAAGAGCAAATATGCAGCTCAATTGAGAGTAGCGTTGGGCTTGGATTTCTGATATTTTTTTGGATTTAAGAGCTATGTTTTGGATGATTTTTGAATTGCCTTTTTCATGTGTGGTGTGATCCTGCGTATCACTATTCCTTTGTGTAGTGTGGGAAATTAAAATTATTTTTTCATCCCGACCATTTGCAGCTAAGTATTTCATGTTTGCAGTGAATTGTTCACAGTCTAAATTTTGTTGCAGAACGCACGTCCATTTGAGTGTAAATATGCGTTTTTGGATAACTCAGACGTAAAGTAAGACATGAGTCAGCAACGCAGCAGACATGGTGTATCGTCAATTTTTTTCTGTGCTGTATCCCTTCAAGTTTTTCAAACTGGTGGGTTGATGAGCTCACATTGGAAGTTGAATGCCGAAAATGGGAAAGTCGTGCAAGTTTCGGAGCCTGTGACTGAAAGCGACGAAGTATTCTTCGAAATTCTTGCGACGACAAATTTCAAGGCCAGCTGTTGGAAACGCACGGCGCACGATCCTGATCATAAAGAGGCGATTTGTGTTTCGAGAGAAATATCAAGTGAAGTCAGGGATTCATCAGTGTGAGTTCTGCCTTTAACTGGATTAGGAGCTTTAATCTTCGTTTACTAATGCACATGCAATGGTCAGGATCGAAGAAAAACCGCAGCCGCCTATACCTTTACAGAGAGATGAGTTGGACTGCGGAAAGCCGGTCAATTTCACATATTACGATCATCTAATGGGAATTTCGCGACGGAACATGCATCCCGAGATAATTGAACCACATTTGACGTTGGTGTTCCACGAAGGCACTACGGGGGGAAGCGGGAACTTCAAAATCAAGCGTGATGTGCTTGAAGCAGACTTGGAAGCTATGGAAAAAGCACTTAAGAAAGCGAAGAAAGAGGTGAGCATATTAACAGATTAGCTCTTCAAATTCGTTATTGTTAAAGAAGATGGGACTTTTTCTTCATGTATTCTGATGACCTTGATTTTAAAAGTTCGCCGATTCAAGACGAAACCGTGACTGTTTTCCTGAAATATTAGCTAAGAATAATTTTTTGAAGTTTTCAGAGAATGTTTTCCTGGCTACTTGGCTCTGTCTATGAAGTATAAAACCCCCCGTCACCCCGTATGGACTTGAGAATCGTACAAAATCTTGCCTATATTGTCTCCTGAGTATTTTCAAATGTCTTGTGGGGGTATCTTTGGGTCTAATCGAACTAATCATGATAATCACCTTTGGAAATTGCTCCCGAAGTATCCATTGTGGGTCAACTTCTCCTTTCATTGTTGCTTTTACGGGGTTCGCTTTACAAATTTGCTGATCTTTTATGTGTCCTGTGGGTTTGTGTTACTTATCTCTCTGTTCAGAAACCGAGAACGGAGCAACTTTATAATCAACTGGGAAATTATTGGAGAATCCGCGGAGACGCCATTAAGACAATCGAATGCTTCCGAAAAGCTTTGACGATAGCACCGAATAGCGCGGAGGTGTTGATTAATTTGGCGCGCGTCTTGCTGAACTTGCAATATAAAGAAGATGCTCTATTTCTGGCGAAGCGTTCGTTAGAGGTTCACCCACCGCATCTGAACCCATGGTTGATTCATTTTACGCTGGGAGAAATCTTCAAGGTACCGATTTCCTGAAATCTTAAGTAAGATAATATTTTTTATCTTAACCGTTTTGTATTTTTGTTGAAGGAGTTTGGATATCATCAGGAGGCGGCGTTGCATTTAAAACATTGCTTGGAGCTAAAGCCGACATGGACACCGGCGGTGGAAGTCTTGCGGGAGCTCGGCGACCCGTATATTCAGTTTGAAGCTGTGAAAGCTTCCTATATCCATATCTACACGCTGCTTATTATCGTTTTCCTTGTGCTGGGAGTTTTGTTGGGTATACTTTCCTCCGTTGATGGTCTGGCTGATGAAGAACGAAAGAAATGCGATTCGAGTGATGCGTTTATGGGGAAGAGTCGGCACAGGGGAAGGTGGAGACGATGATTTATTATTTTTTCGTTGGGAAATCTGATGTTTTAGTGCCAAATTCTAGTCAGTCTTCATTTCTTGAGAAGATATCATCTTCTTCCGCATGCGCTGATACTGAGACTCCGGCGTCATGCAATAAAATTGACTTGATGCAGCGCTCGGTTCTTCTGAATTTTACTCTGCCCTAGCGAGGGTGTTGCATACTCGCATGCACCTGCAAGATTTTCGTAGTACAGTATTTCCGCAATCCATTTTCGGATATCCATATTTTAAAGGCAGTCGAAGATCCGATTAGGTTTTAGCTGATGAAAATTACGTCTGAGGTGCAAATTTTGCAAGCATGCGTTTATCCTTCGCGATTTCGATGCATGTCGGCTTTCTGAATATTCCGTGTTTAAGTGGTGTTGCGTTCTTCCCCGCAGAAGTATATCTGTTGGTGGTTTGGTATCAGTTTTTTTTTCTGGCAGGTGTTCCGGTCAACGGACAGATTAGCGTTCGTGGAGAACATCGGCTACTCGACGAAGTCAGGTTAGCGAGCGCATTCGACTGATGGAGAGTACAACTGAAGGATATTAATACTGTAGTAATTCGATCTGGGGGCAATGGTATGATTCGTGTGTTCTTCGAGAGATTGCGCATCTCCTCAATTTCAGGCTCCTGGGAGCATTCAAGTTCTTTTTCTGATCAGCATTTAAGTATTTTTATTATTCGAAATTCTGGTTCCAAAAATATTTTCTGTGCGCAGAAGGCGGCAAGTATCGTGCGAAAATAAGTCAAGGATGAACACGGACCGAATCGAGGTGGAAGAAAATGAGGCGGATGATTCCATTAATAATTTGGGACGATCGATGAATTTGATCCGGGAGTATACATCCTCGTGTGGTGTTTTACATGAAATCTCATTGCCCACTATTGCGGTTGTAGGTTCACAAAGCGTCGGAAAATCAAGTGTCTTGGAAAACATAGCAGGAAGGTCTGTGTTCATCTTAGATTGATTTTTCAAATACTGCAGTTTCCCTATTTTACAGAGAATTTTTTCCCCGAGGAAAAGATGTCGTCACTCGCCTACCATTAGTTCTGGAAATGATACGAATTCCCGCGGACCAGGAAGGTTTGTTTCATGTGATCCTCCCATTGTAGCAGTAGGTTTTATTAGTTTTAAATCACAGTTGCAGTCGTTTCATGGTTAATCCCATGGGAGAAAAAAGTCCCACGGCTCGAAAATTTCCACGAGGCCTGAAAATCCTGCGGGTTGCGAAAATCCCGTAGCATGAATCTATCAGAAAAATCCACTTGGATAAGGTATAATTGTGTATAAAATTTCTAAATTATTGAAAAAGTCCGAATACACTTGGATTGTGAAGTTGAAATATGAAAATCTTTAATAAAATACACCGTTTGAAGTTTGAACTCAGAACAAATGCAGGGATGAAAGCTACATATTTCTCAGGCTTCCTCCCCTTTCCCTTGAGAAAGGTAATCAAAAACCCTCAAAACCGTTTGAAGGGAAGCCCACGCGCTTTCTTAATTTCGTAATCCGCCAGATTTTCATTTATTTTGAAACAGTTGGAAGGAAGCCCCGAACACATTTTTACAATTCTTTAGTACAGTACATGGAATTTTCGTTCCTGCATGATTATTGTAACCCGCGAGATTTTTAGGCTTATCGGCCTCACGTGGTTTTCAAGCCGCGGGATTTTCTCATGGAGCCTTTCTGCCTTTCTATGAGACTCAGATTTTTTTCTTCAAGGCTGGGTCGAGTTTGCGCATAAAAAGGGCGTCAAATTCGACAAAGATGAAGGGGTTCGTTCAGAAATCGTAGCCGAAACGAAGAAAAGAGCTGGGGAGAAGGATGCAATTGTTGATAATCCAATTCATCTAACGATGTATTCACCCCATGGTGGGTGATCAAAACTATGGATTATCTTGAGCAAAAAAGTATAGATTTTATTTTTTAGTGGCCGATTTAACTCTGGTGGATTTACCTGGATTGGTATGCAATACACTGCCAGGGCAACCTGCTAATATTCCTGAAACTGTAAGTTACGCCCTGTTCCTCGTTTTCCGTGTTCGTGCATTGTCTCTCGCGTGTGACGCTCCTACGTATACATATTCCACGCGAGACGCTTCTATGAGATTCGGGCATTTCTTCGGATGACTCTCGGATGTGGGATTTCTTTTGCATTGATGATTTCTTGCTCGATAGGTGAGGAACATGATCCGCAGGTACATAGAGGAAGAAAATGCGATCATTTTAGCTGTTTCTGATGCAAGTATGGATTTGCAAATTTCGGAAAGCCTAAAACTTGCGAATGAAGTAGATCCTGATGGTATTTAATTTTTTTTCACTCAATTCGTTCGAGCTCCAGAACACTTCTTCTTGAAACATTCTTACATGAAAATTTGCTCTTTCACCGGGGGAAGGATCTCGGACATTCGGAGTAATCACCAAACTTGATCTACGAAGGGACCCCGGTTCCGTTAGAGTTTTAACGCAAGTATTATCAAACCGACGCATTCCCTTGAAATTTGGGTATGTTGGCGTTGTGAATGGAGAAGTGGATGCTCCTGAAGAAGGCCACGCAGCGAACTTCGCAGCTATTCGATTAAAGGAGAAGAAATTCTTCAGGGATTTCTATCCGTCGGTATTTCGGAATTAAATCAGTGAACTGTTCTAGCAAGGGTTATTCTAATTTTCTAGAGAACTGGCTGTTCAGCAAGGAACACCTTATTTGAGAAAGAAACTGTCGAATGGGTTAGCGCGTCATGTTGTGGAAACCGCGCCGAAAGTTAAAGCACAATTGGATAAAAAGAGACGGGAATTGGTGGAGAAGCTGAAATCGCTGGGTTTTGAAGTTGATGGAATGCGGGACACGGCTCCATCAAATATAAGGAAGACAATGTGGGAGTGAGTTCTGGCATTGTTTCCCTCCTTTGAGAATATAATTCGGCACTTCTCAGCTGAACGCTCTTCATCATACGAAGCGGTTTCCAAGATTAAGACCAAGAGAATAATTATCAACTGCATAACTTCCTCCACCGACTGCTGTCGGTCGTAAGAACCTTCAAATTTGAGGACCATTTCTAGATGACCTTTGCGCCATCTTCCTAGAATTATGCAACAATCTTGAAGAATATTCCCGAATTGCTGTGCATGATAAACAGCATCTTTTTCTTGGTAACCAACCAAAAGCCCCCCCTTTACTCAAATTCGTTTTCGCTCGCGTACATTAAAGCTATCGTGAACATTTCAACTAGCAGAAACTGACTCTGGAATATCCTCTCACGCCTATCAGTACCTTACCATTATATTTTATTGGTATGCTCTGAGCGAAAAATAATTACTGCACTTGCCGTTAAAAATCTTTCAAGTTTCACGGAGTTTGAAATTAGCATGAAACATGCCTTCATGCTCTCTTTGGCTGCAACGCCTTCATCACATTCAGCCTTTTTTTTATTCGCTAGTTTTTCACTTTGTAAAAGATGTATTGCGTTCTTTTAATATGATCCGGTTTGGATTTACGATTGTAGAGAAAGGGCGGTTTTCGTCGTATGGATTACATTTCCGTTTTTTTTGAATATCTTAATCCGATTTGTCATCGTGCATTTGAAGGATCGTTGGAAAGTTTTCCATGAAGTTATCGGCTATCGAAGGCTTCGTTATTGATGTTTCAACGAAGGACCTCTCCCATGGGCCAGCTCTTCACCAATGTTTGAGCACGATCGTCGAACAGATCAGGAATGTTGAAGCGCCGACTTTGGCAGAAGTGAAAATAACGATGAGGAACGTATTGGGGATTCACAGTCCATTGACAAATCCTCAGCAAGCATTCCACATTATTATACGAGAAATGCTAGAGAATAAATTTCGTCCCCCAGTCATGAATGGACTGGAAAAAATGACGGACGAAATGGAAAAATGCATCATTGCATGCTTGGAAGTGAGTAAACTGTTCCTTATTTCTCGTCTATGTTCATTTTGACGTCATTCGATAAAAAAAAGTATTGCAATAGATGGCAACGACCTGAAACTCCATCGCTTTTCTCTTTCTTTGGCTGTTATTAAACTTCCTCAAAAGTCGGCCGGAAATTAATTTTTCCATCGTTACTCTGATTCTGCTCGGTCCGTTGGGTTATGACGTTTGCGGATCGTTGTTCCAGTTACAATACTATGTGTAATTCTCTAGTTCGAGCTTATTACACTCGCCGGAGCCTTGGGCAAGAAATCTTCATGAACTCGGTTTGGCGTCGTAATTATGCATGGTTTTAAAAATCAGAATTCTTAGTTCTCTGTTTTGTCAATTTCAAAAGATTTTCGAGGTGTACCCCAAATTACGAAGCACCATCCAAGATCTCATGCTTGCTGAACTGCGATCAAATCAAGCTGACTGCAGTACTTATGTAACAACCTTTATGAAAGTGGAAGCCGTTTATCCGAACTTCAATCATCCTGAATTCGTGCGAAAGTAAGCTAATTTTTTCTTATTTGAAATCAGAATCTGCATTTCGCCTTCTCACATGATCAACTATTTTCACGCCATATATATTTATCCCATTGCTGTTTGGGAAAAAAATTCCTTGATTGTTGGCCACTAACTTCTTGACGGTAAATATTGGGCTATACTCGGACAAAATAGGGATTGAAGAAATAAACTTTATCTAAATTTCGAGCGAGCTTTTTCCTGACAGCTCCCCACACATAATGCCTACTGTTTCCATGATGTACAGTACTGCATATATAAGGGGAATCCAAAATAATCATCGATAAGTTATTAATTCTCTTGAAAAACGTTATATCAACCGCCTAATCATTGTCCCCAATTTGTTGATCTCACTCTAGAAAAACTGCCTTCGTGATTTTGAAGGACGACGTTTCATGCAGTCGACCATCAGTTGGTCAACATGAACCTGTTAACTGGTTGATTATCCCTATTCCACATTCACTGAAGTAGATAGTTGACTTCTTCCGTCGACATTCACTCAAACTCCTGGCGAGCCCAGCGTTGATCAACAATATTGAATAATCAATCACTCGAGCTTCTATTGCATTTTTCTTTTCGTGACTCCTGAGTTTCCTTACTATACACAGCCACTTTGTTTTTACGATTCCAACGCTGAAAACACATGTCCAGTTTATAACGGCAGAATTTTGCATAGCTATGAGGAAATAATTTCGATGATGGGTTGTGCTGAACGCCACGACCCATCATCTGATCATTTTGAAGCCGTATCATTATTTTTTAAATCCCGGCCGCTTTCATGAACTTCCGAACGTTATTCAAAAAATTATAAATGATGTGTATCGTAGGTTCCTAAACACTTAGCGGCAAAGAATCGGTTTAATTTACCAACCCTCAACTGTATCTATGAGACTCTTGGCTCATCCATACGGCGAGCTATGAAAAAGTATTAACCCAAATACTTGCTCAAGATTTGTTTTTACGCCTGGGTGTGGCCCCATCAGCTCTCGCCTTTTTATCAAGATATTACATGAGTGAATGTTGACTGAAGGAAAATGACTTCGAAACGATCGAGTGTACAATCATTCACCATGAGGCAAAGATAGACATTGTCTAAGAGTGGACTGCTCTGACACCATTTCAAAGTTTGGTTGTCGGTATCATCTGTAACGAGAGTTCCGACTGCAGATTGCTGATATGCTTTTTCCCTCTCCAGGAAATTCAAGCAACGCTTGTGTGATCTGAAAAAGCAAGGTGAAGAAATCAAGAACGAGGGAAAAGACGGATCCAAACATCAGGCGTCGAAAATGTTACGCTGCATCGATGAACAAATTGGACAACTTTCGGAAACCTTGGAGAAGGTAAGTCTAGTTCACTGCCATCCGTGTCTTTTGCGGAGAGAAAATATACATATAATTTTTTTTTTCTAGGGTGACTTGAGAGTGAATTGGGATGAGCGTTTTGACGCTAATGCCGACGTTGGACTGAAAGAAATCGTCATGTATCTAGAGGTCGTGGAAATGACCCTGGTTGACCAAATCCCCAAGGCCTTTGTCAACTTTATAGTGAGCAAGGTCTGTTTTTTTCATTTTGGTTGACCAAGACAGTTGAATTCATGAGCGACTTTTCTTTTTTTTTTCAGACAATAGAGTATGCCAAGAATAATCTTCCACAGGAAGATGAACTTTACATCGAGCCTGTGAGTTTTTTCTCTTCTGTTGCTTAAAAACCATGCACAATGTACAGTATCCAACGGATTAAATTTTTTCCAGGCTGTATTGATGGAAACTTCCGTCGAAAAGAAGTTAGCTAAAGAAACTTTGATTGATCAGTACACAGCGGTGCAAAAGGCCCTGGAGGAAATTCAGAAATTTCGCCTTTGAGACTTCAGATTATGATCGAATTATGAGTATTCCGCAGTGAACTGCGCGTGTTGCGGCGACGCCAATTTTGTGTATAATGAAGTCGTTGCTTTGTGATCGGCACCGATTGGAAATGATGGCATGTCAGTGAGGGTTGATTAGTTGGGACTGTTCTCGAAATAAAATCGCTTCATCTCATTTGTTTATTTTTTTGGACTTATTGATAGTGGTGATGGAAACACAATTTTTTGTGACAATGTGTTTTTTTTATGAAAACATTTTGAAGGTGCAGGCTTGCATTGATGCCGAGGGTACGTCTTGAAAAAGTTTTATTTCGTTTGTTCAAATACACCCTCAGGAACAGGAAGTCAAAAAACCTGTTGCCGCCTTGCAAGGGAAAAAAATTACCAACAAAAATAATCAAATTGCAGAAAACCGCCATCTAGCTTTATCATGGTTGACGATAGCTATTTGTTCAATCTGCCCTTCCATTACATGCCGTTGTTCATTCGAAATCTGAAGTCGTTCGCAAGCAAGAGTTCACACCGTGATAGGCAGCGCTGCGAGGAAGGTGAATTGTTTACTCTGTCGATTATCGTGTTCCGGTGTCTTCCCGCTGTCCCGGCTCTGAGGATCATCGTGTTTTTATGTCTATTGGCGGCGTATGATTTTCCTGAATCGAGAACGTGAAGTCGCGTGGAGGCTTGAGTCGGTTTCTCGAAGGTCAAATTCTATAGTGCGTAGCTTTCTCTATGGGAATCACAAGAGATTCGCAGCTTTGTTTTTGGCCACGTTGCTTCCGCTGAGTACCGACCAGGATGCGTTTGTGGAACGAAGCCATTACCCTCGGTACGATGCGCATTCGACAGCTCATTGCGAAGCCAAGAATCGCCGAAATCATTAAGACTTACGAAGATATTGTTGGACGGACGGAAGTTCGGATTGCTCAGCAAAAAGTTGTTGAAGTTAGTTATAGTTTTCAAAATGCGTTACGGTATTCAGTTTTCTCTGCTTCCACATTTCAATAGTAATGTGCTATCCCATTTCCAAAACAGTCACAATTGAAATTCGAAACGACGCAGGAAGAACGTCGTCAGCGCCAACTTCAGCTGAATATCATCAATCATGACTTGAGGAAGCTTCGAGACGAAATTGACCAAGTCCACCGAACTGATTCACGTTATATTGCTCTTGTTTCTAAGGTTAGTTTCAAGATTTGACCTCTTCCATTTTCTTGAATCGAGAAGCAGATTTGTCCTGTTCAATATATTGAGAAAGTTCAATGCAATGAGACTCCATTTTCAGCCGATTTTTTTTCTTTTCGTGGGCCGTAACACACCTTAAGCATGGTTAGGTTAGTGCGTGTATTCCCCTACACACCTAAGCATGGTTAGGTTAGTGCGTGTATTCCCCTAAAAGCTTGTGAGGATCCAATATGTTTCAGTAAACTGTGTTCGTCGGAATAGCTGTTGTCGTACAGTGTAAGCAATATATTCGCAGTGCACTGAGTGCAGTAACAGTTTCGGGAAGTCCGGATAGGGCTCGTGACGCACTTCTGACTGTATATTTTGCACGAAGTTAAGTCTTCTAGGTTTCTAACTGTTCCCCTGATTTCTTGAATTTATAGATGTTCTTTCTTCAATTCATCAGGGTATAATTCAATTCGAACAACTTCCTTCTTGAATTTCTGTATCAAATTTATGAAGTCTGATGATGTAGAATACTGCTGTTGAGCCGAAAAGTGCTGCATCACTTCTTTGTGCCCTAGCTAATAAATTAGAATTTCTTGTCATGAATTTCAGGGTATACATAAATACATAAATAAATACATTTGAAAGTGTTTCAAGTCAAGGGGAACGAAGGGAGATACATGGTCATGGCTAGTTAAAATACTGATCATGCTTATATACGGTATTCTCTTTGATAGACGTGAGCAGCGCTGCACAGTCTGACATAATAGGCTTGCGAAGAAAAGTACTGCGATCGCGGATCTGTCCCAAGAGTGCTTGAGATAAAAAGAGTTCACATTTAAAAGGAAGAGCGTTTTCAAAAACGATGGTAGTGTTTCAGTAAAACAGTAAACCTAGTTGTTCAAAAAGAGGCTTTTAGCCGATGTTGAAGCGTGTCTTACATTTTGTTCAAGGAAGTCACATAATTAGTTTTACTTGGGAACTAATTATTTGTTTCGGTTTAAGTGAAAACAGATTTGTGCTATTGCTGTTTTTATTGAATTTCCTTCTATTTTTCAGGAGCACGAGCTAATCAAAGTAGAGAAGCTTCTTCAATCTGATTTTGAGCTTTATGAAAAAGCTGAAAGGGATTATTTCGCCACATTGTCGATGGCTGTCCGAGACAGTCAAGAGAAGGAAAGAGCTCAAGCGGAGAAGACGAAGTATTGGTCTATTATAGGATCCATTTGTGGCGCAGTAATTGGTATAGTTGGCACCTCTATCAACAACTGGCTGCGAATGCGGGAGTTGCGTCGTATGATTGATGATTATCCAAAACAGTACCAGTATAGTCTGCCTTCTGAAATATCAAGAAGCATTTCAAAAATTGAATCATTTCTTTGTGATGTTAGCGGCGTGAATGTAAAAAGCGTTCCAAAAGTTGATGAATTGGTCTTGGACCAAGTCGTTGACGTAGAGAGTTGTTCTGATCAGAGGTTGGAAAGAGTTGAACTTTTGGTGAAACTGACCTGTGCTGTGGCGATTGGTGGCTTTCTAATATCGTTATTCAAAATGTGGTGATTTATGATGCATTACAAACTTTCATTTATTTGTCTTTGTAATATTTATCTCGTCTTATTTCGATTGCAGATTTTCCAATGAATTGATATTATTTTCAGCGAAATGGCAACCAACTTGCCATATGAGGTATGCAAGTTTATGAAAAGCAGTGGTTATCTGAAACGCATCATCAAAGAAACTCATGATGCTATTCAAGATGTCAAAGGATGCGGTTACTTCACCATTGGTAAGGGATTGAAGTACAGTACTGCATGCTTATAAATGCGAGTTTCTCCTAGAATTATCTCGGAATGAAATTGTTAATGCTGTATTTTCCACCCGTGATATTCTCGTTTCAAAGGCCAATTGGAATCGCTGGGTGCCCGCGAGGTAGAACTGGCGGATATTGGACGTCAGATGTCGTGCTCGCTTTGCCTCGTTATCATGGGACAAACTCCATATGCCAAAGCATCTGTAGTTAATGAATTATTTGGCACCCCGATTTTACCCCTGGTCCGGGACTTGGACAGTCATCTTGCTTGGCGAACTGTTCGATTCATTAGTGGACGGGGTCCACGTGCGCAAGTTTCGCTTGCTCTGCCTAATTCCTACGAACTTGTCGAACGTCTTCAGGCGTACGAACGTCCATGGAGAACAGTTCCCGTGGCTGACTTACTGCTCAAGGACGACGATTTTGAGGTATGCTTAAAAAATCTGTCATCACGATGAAGCGTAATTTTAATTCTTTTCTCCGAACTTCGTTTGTAAATGTGATCAACGAAACTCAGTACAGTGATTGTCTTGAAAGATGTCGGAATGTTCGTTCTAGGAATTTTTTCTGATTTTTCCAGGATCCCGCAAAAGAAACAGCGATATTGGAAGTTCAGCTGCGCCATCCCCTGCTCATGAGTGGAGCATCCGTTGTTGTTTCACCATGCAATCATTTAGACAGCATTGAGTCCGTTTTTAAGAAAGTGACGGACGGCGTTCTTCCAATCCTGGTGTACACTATTTCCGACGAACGCCTTTTTTCAAAAGAGCTCAAAGAACTGGAGGAGATCAGAGTGATGGTGGGAAATTTCCCGGTTTTCTTCGTCAAAGTATCCCCTCCGTCGGACTCCCACACGTGGGAACTTACAGAATCCCAACAGCATGAAGTAATGCGAAGCAGAAGGCGAAACTCGAGTGGTGCCGAGCTGCTTCATTCTCCTACGCGTGAAAGACGATTTTGTGCTTCTACCGAGGGAGAGTGCAAGAAATCAAATATTTCTCCACCTGTTTCCAAGGATACCGGAAATCTTCCTAGTGTGATTCATACGCAGTTGGCGAAGCTTGGTAAGACTTGAATATTCTTCAAGTTAGTCGTGCAACGCTAATCCAATGTTTCAGGCTTCCTCGATCCGAAATGCGGGGAGGAGGCCATGTCGGCAAGATGGTGCCTTGGACGGAAAGGGCTCTCCGCTAAAAAGGTTGGGAGAACGTGCGACACAGTTTTTGCTGCCGTTGGAAGTGAGCTCGTCGAAGGAATTGAGGAGATGGGATCAATCATGAGTTTTGTGCGCCGTGTTTTACAATCTTATCTGGTTCAAGCAAGCACGGCGCTGAATCAGGTAAATTCGTGACCACCACTGCTAGCCGTTGGAAGTTTGAAATTTTACGCTGAAATTTTTTCAGATTCATGCAGCATGTCTGAAAATGTTCATTTTATCAGCCTTCGATATGGCTCGAGAACTTCAAATCACTCCGGTCAGGTTGGCTTTTGCGCGTGAAAAGGAGCTTGAACTGTACAACTCTCTAATGGATATTGCCATTGGGAGGCAAGAAGAGATAAAAAATGCCATTGTGACTACTGTTCAAGAACGTTACGATGACCTTTTAGACATGGCGGCCAACTATCCTCTCGAAAGTGCGTCCTTTCAATATTAATATGTAGTTTGTTCTTGTGAGTCAAATATTGCAGTATTGGCTCTCTTCAGACATTCCAGCGGACGGAGCGCCGTTGACCGCCTCTGCCATTCAAGCTTGTTGGGAGGAGTTGCAGGATTTAGTTCTGGGAACTTTGAACTCGGAAGTTGCTTTGAAAATTGTCGGGTCTGTCAATTTCATGCGGGATTCATTCGTGGGAACATTGCAGCGCTGTCTGGAAAGCTTGGAGAAAATAATGCGTGAGCAAGGTGAAGAATTTCGCACCACGCAAGCTCTGAAACAGGTTTGTATTGAAAAAAAAGAACGTTTTCTGATGGTCCCCTTCTGAGATCCCGGATCATCCATATTTAAAATGTTCTTACCTCTTAATACGGGCATCAACGTTTTTTTTTTCGTACAGATATTGAACGCCGCTTATTCGTTGGATGCGAATGTTGTCGGATATGGCACTCATGGTGTCTCAGTTTTCAAAATCGTTTGGGAGAAGGTAAAACGCGCGCTTGCCATGACACTTACGCCGTGGAGGTATAATCCTCTGAAAGACGTCGATGAAGAGTGGAAAAAGCACGTCGCTGCCGATGTCTTATCCTCGGTTTCTGAAAATAAGCTAGCGAAGTGTATATGCTCACAGGTGAGAGAAGGACGTTGCTTTTGTTGCGTAAAAATGTTATGATGCGCTCCGATAGTTCCGAGACAGGCTTCGAAATTCACATGAATCATTTCTTGCCGATCTTGTGAAACTGGAAAATTACTACTGCGATCGTCTGGAAAGAACTGAGGAGCGCAGTCTGAAAGTTAGGCGTCAGTTCGCGCCGAAGGTCGCTCGCTTATACTTGGAATCTACCTCGCTCAAGGATTACGTTTTGTACGGTAAGATCTGTCTTATGTTACGCTTCGTGATTTTATCTCGATTATTTTTTGTTCCAGCTCATCCTTAGTGTGTAGTAGACTTCCGTTATTCACTGATGATTCCGAAAAATTAGCGTGCGAAGGTGGAGTACTGTCGACATTGAGAATTATTTTTTATTGGTTGCCTTGTAGGAATGCCGTTACAAGGAAAAGAAATTGGTCGTGGCCAGTATGGTGTTGTTTTCGCGTGTGACTCATGGGCTGGTTATTCTCCGTGCGCCATAAAATCCGTGGTTCCACCTGACGACAAACACTGGAACGACCTTGCGTTGGAGTTTTACTACACCAGGCATGCAAAAATAAAGTTCCTCTAAGGTCAAGTTTATGAAGAATTCCTTTATGGCTAGATGCGTTCCTGAACACGACCGAATTGTTGCACTGCGAGGCTCCGTCATTGATCATTCCTATGGTTCCGGTGGGGGTAGTTCTCCTGCCGTGCTTCTGGTGATGGAGCGTTTGTCGAGAGATCTGTATGTAGCTCTGAAAGCTGGCCTCACGTGGAAGTCGCGACTTAGGATTGCCTTAGACGTTGTTCAGGCCATTCGTTTCCTTCATTCCCAAGGTCTCGTCCACCGTGACGTTAAGCTAAAAAATGTCTTGGTGAGTGAATTCATTCCATTTGCGGTAGAATTCATTTTTCAAGGTTTCTGTCTTCTAGCTGGATTCGAGAGATCGTGGGAAGCTGACGGACCTTGGGTTTTGTAAACCGGAAGCTATGATGTCTGGAAGCATAGTTGGGACCCCTATTCATATGGCTCCTGAGCTTTTCTCTGGTAAAAAAATAGTTCTTTTCTTTTCAGGAAACGTTTCAATTGTTGAAGTTTTTCTCGTGGAACCAATTTTTTTGCGTTTCATAGGGCATTATGACTCAAGTGTGGATGTCTACGCCTTCGGTGTGTTGTTTTGGTATATTTGTGCTGGTCGTACGCGCTTACCATATGTGTTCGAGCAATGCCAAAACAAGGATCAGCTATGGTCATGCGTGAAAAGAGGTATGATATTGGTGGGGTTCATCCGACCGTAGTCCATTTGTATTACAGGACGATATTATGTTCCAGGTGCAAGGCCGGAAAAGTTGCCCTATTTCGATAAGGAGTGTTGGGAGCTGATGAATGAATGCTGGGCTGGAAACCCTCAAGACAGGCCGTTGTTGGGTGAAGTTGAACCAAGATTAACTGCTATCTTGGAGAGATTTCAGACTGCTCCAGCTCCTGATGAAACACAGCCCCGTAAGCATGACATGGAATTACCGATTTTTGACTCGCATGTACCACCTCTGCCTCAAACCGCTGTGCAAACACTGTCGGCTGGCAGGCGAATATCTTCTGTTTATAATCTCCGGCACTGTCACTTAGAAGCTGCTCACTTTTTGCCTGATTACTGACCTGTGTTCGCGTGATAGCGTAAGCTTGTCATACTACCTTACCTACTGTCCTACTTACCTTTTTTGAAATACTGTAGTATTTTTTACTTTCCTCAGACTCTAATGCCTACTATAACCAATACTTAATCCGGAAAGAGGATTTTTTACATTTTCCTAATGTTTCCCAAGTTTTCATCTTCCTGTTCGTATTTGAACAGAAGAAAAATGAGATTAAACTGGTGGGTTCTAGTGTATCATGATTCTTGAGTATGCCCCAAGTTTAAAATCGAATTTTCCGTCGATTATCTTTCCCAGTATCTGTTCAATATTTTTTTGCTGTTCTCCCTGACATTGTATTGCTTTTAGCAAATCCGAGAAATTCGTGATCTCTGCGGGGAAAGACATTGTTTTGTTCTTACAACGGTTTTAATTCCTATGTGTTTTGCTTGCTTCTTGACCTGACAAGATGAATTCAGTGTTGTGAAAAGGAAAGCCTCGTCCTTGTTTCGGTTTCAGCGTAGCTGCTGCGGCTGAACGATGCTCTTCGAAATTTGACTCAATTGGTTCTTTATCAGTCACGAGGTAAGGTCCTCGGAGGTTTCGGTTTTGGTTGGTGATGGTATATATTGGCATTACGTGTAGTTTTTATACATAGGCGTCGGATCGCTTGTTTCCCTGGATCTTTTTCAATGTCTGTGTAGAGGTTTATCGTGGACTTATTCACGTGAGATGCTGAACAAATTTCGGCCTATATTTATATTCTGATTTGCAGCAAATATGTGCCAGAAAGAAATGAACGACAGTGCGTCATCGTCGCCGTTTTGGGACGTGGACTATGTTTCCCTTAGATAGCTTGAGCCCATTGCTTCGAGGCATCTCTCTGCTACACGTGGATATAGAAATCGTTCTTGATTGTAGCGAGCGAACGTTGGGACTCTGCTGTCGAATTGCTTCTCCCTTCATAACGGTCATGCGCAGTGGCATTATACTAACGCATTTTGAGCGGAATTTGTAGACGTCGAGGTGCGTTGAGGGAAACTTGTGATTATTGTCTTAAAAGCGAAGGAATCGGTAGGAACGATATTTTTGTTTGAATGTTTGTACTTTCCAAACGAGGCCGTAATTTTTTTTTCGGTTACAAAGCAATTGAACTGTTCGAACACGGACGTAAGTTGGGTGATAACGTAAATGAACTGTTCCACTGTCTGATCTCGGCTACGGGCTTCGAATTCCGTGTCGAGTCTCTGCTTCTGCAGTCTCTCGGATATCATATTTTTCGGTTTCAAGTTGTGAGTCAGATGGCTTGTTTACGATTGTCTTCCAGCACCTGTAGCAAGGCCTCAATTTTTGAACAGAAATCTGCTACGGTGTGCCTGAAACGCAAGCGAGTGTTCAGTGTCTGTGAATTGGGTTCTGTTTGGGACGATTGTTGTTGTTTCCTAATGATCAATGAGGGAATTAAATCCGCTATACATTCTTGAATCCGAGTTTTATTACCGACTTGTACGCCGATTCGTTTTACTGCTGGTTTTCTTTTTTTGAGTAGCTCTTCGCAGGTGGGAATCGAATAAGCGCGTGCTCTTTAAACCCGTGTGATCTTGAGCAATTTGTGCTTTTCATGTGATTATGGGAAGTTGTTCGCACTTGATTTTATTTTTCTTATGAGGCTGTTCGTTCAGGTTCTGCGGTACGACTCAATTTGTTGTCTTTTAACGTTTGATATATTCTAGATTGGAAAATAAATCGTCTACTGGTGTAGTCGGTTTTTGTGGGACATAGATGTTCGCCTCGAGCGCCAATGGAGCGTATAGCTGTTTAGTTTTGACACACGATCGAAAATTTTCTGGCCATTGCCGTTCTTGTGTGCGCATTCATTGCATTCCTTTAATATGAATGAGTTAGTGTGATTTCCTTCGTCTTGTTCGTGATTGTGTTGACAGTTATTGTCATGAAAGCGAATTTCATCTGCAGAATCCGTTTCAATTGATTTTTCTGTGATGTATCCGTTGTTATTGATAATTTGATGCGTATATCAGGAGGGTTATGCTCTCTGATGGAGGTGGGGATGACATTTATTTCTACAACCATACCAAAAAATTGTGTGATCTAAAAGGGCTGATTTCTGTTCCCCAAGTATGTAACACTGTTGTCTTAAATTATCTTCGGTCACTTTTTTTTAATGTCGAAAAAATAAAAAATGTCATCTGAACAAGTAATTTTGCTCATGGGCATTTACCATGTTGACGCATGTACTATATACATACACCCTCTTAAGGAAATTCAATGTTCATCACATACCCGAATACGAAGTTTTCATTTGAGAAATATTGGCGGGTTGTTATGTAAAATTTTCCAGAGCTTGATTTTTTAAACCCCAGAAACGGAAATTAAGGAAGAATAGCAGATAAAAACAGTTGCAAAAAATTAGACTACAAAATTCTCCTTTCGTATTGTTTCTTGAATATTCAAAAAATGTTGTGTGCTGGAAATTTTAGTACCTGTGCAATACATTGAATGGATTTTTTTTTCGAATAAAGAAATGTAAGTGCATGTGATGCTTGATTAAATATTGTTTTGGGAATGAGCAGCAGCTCCGCCAATTCCAAGTAACCTTTATTTGATCATGACTGTATGAACATTCAAATTACTGTAATTGGAGGAAAATGAAGATGCTAGAATTTGAATTACTGCGTATAAGGGTTGCTTTTTCTCCTCTCAACAAGTGAAACGTTTGGCGCGGAATCAAGTGAAGTCCGGATATTTAGAGTTACCGTATGTATACAGTACTGCTTGCGAACTTGGTTCTGCTGGTCATCAAGGTCTTCATCGTGTTAGGATTTTAGCGTGCGTGTGCGCTTGGGAATTCGCCGCTTGTGGGGTCAACGATCAATTATCCAATAGCATCGATTCCTGGAAAAGGCTTTCTTGTTCATCGCGGTGCGAACAAAACGGGGTCAACACGGCGACGGGCATGGCTTTTGCTATGGCCGTGCCGGTTGGCTCGTCGAGTCCGAAGTGCCACGCGGATTTCTGCGCAATTTGGAATTGTCGTCCCGGACCTCGACTCACTGAAACTCACTTTTTCCGGGAGACACATTTCACTAATTTTCCATGAATTTTTCCGCGAGTTTTTCGGACTGGAGAAAGATCCGTGAGTTCGCTTATAGCATTGTTTTTCTTTTGCTGATGTGCCGTGATATGTGAAGAGCATGTGAAATGACGAAGCACGCAGCTTTACTTATTATTGTATCGAGGGTTTCATCATTGTGTGCTGCTCTTTTCAAATCATTCTCGTGTTCCCGAGAGTGTGTTGGTTAGTGCATGAAGTTTCCACACATTCAGCTGCTTATTTGAGCTCTCCGCGTCCTACGCTACTGCTGCTGGGGTATATATGTACTGTATTGCTGTATGTTGTACATCTGATCCAATAGAGCTTTCCAGGAAGTATGCTGAACCTTTATTTTTGAATTTTTTCAACGGAAATGGCAGAAATTATAGAGGAAATAAACCATATTTCCTTTATGCTGGCAAAAACCCAACCACCATCACGAGCAGGGATATAAACATGGGCAAATGTTGAAAATCTCCTGGCTCCGCATAAATTGAAATAAAATCAGCAGTAACATGTATGTAGGCCAACGATGTAGTTCCTGTCAACATTGTGAGATTAAGAAAATACAAATTTTAAAATCCTCAGCATACTTCTTGTTTCGCTGTTGTCTGCGCTGTTATTAGATTAGCATATTGGATGCTGACTGTTGCTCACTACAATATAAAGTATAGTACAGTATTTTGTATAGACAATATGGAAGAGTTTATAGTACTGTAGGAAGTGCAGCTAGTATTCCACAGCAGTGGTGGTGTCGTGATTATTTTTTTGGACTTATGCTGGGATTGTTCACTCGTATTTCTCACTGTTATTCCGTCTTCTTATCGCAGAAATTTCATATACGTATACAGTATATGTCCGGAAATCATTCCTAGATCTTGATATGTTCTATATTGATCATGTTTACAACGAGAGAATCACCCTGCACGCCACAATATTTTTTACATATGCCGGTGCGACTGAGTCATGGAAGTCCCTGGATGCATTCAGTTTTAACCCGTCTTCATTTCTCCTATTGTATTACAAGGCAGAAGGAAATTGTTCGATCTGTTCCCATTTCCGCGACTCCGTGACCTAGCTTGCTGCGGAGTAAATTGTATCAACCACACGCCCGCATCCTGTTCACGCCAACTGTTTCCGCATCAATGGAGTTGATTGAATTGTGTCTGCGATCCGCACATTCGCTTGACTCACTTCCCGTGGAACTTCCGCGAAAACGTCGCCCGAGCGCCAGTTATTGTTTTTTATTTGTTTGTTTTTGTATGCGATTCACGGCTTTCTTTTATTTCCTCGTGATCAGCTTCCTAGCTTTTCGATTCTCTGTTATGCGTTGTACTCATATATCTCGTAAAATCACACGCGCCTGCGAGCCCAGCAGCAGGTGATTCACGCTCTACGATAGACACGCAGTGAATATTTCGAGATTAATAAAACCCTTAAAATGTGTGTCAAAAATTAGCAGAAATATGCGAGAGAATGAGAAAAACCCTGGCATCATTCAAACGATCAGAAGTGTTCGGCCTCTGCATATTGGAGAGAAAAGGAAAATTTGTCGGGCATCATTTTTCAGACTTGAACCTACAGCTGCGGCATGGTGCTTCCGTGATGGAAATAAATTAGTGAAATTTTCAAGATGAAGATTAAAGAATTTGGAAGTTGATGTTAAAAGCACCCGGAGGGGCGAGGCAAGGATGGATCTTGGAGAGAACATTTTGTATTCCTTGATTTATTTCAAAATTCTTGCGGAACCTATATTGGATGAAACACGCTTGTATTCCTGAGAAAATCTGCACAATGATTCCCTTTTCATTCCCATCAGCCAGGTTTTCAACAACATTGATGTTGGAATATATATCTTTCAGAATTTCCACATTTTTTGCACGGTCTCACTCTTCTTCTGACACAAATTTAATATTTATACCTCTGAAATATTAACTTTTTTGTTGGTCGTCTGTTTTACAGCGTGAACTATCCTGTATCTTTTTTAGGAATTTCTTTGGCTCATTTTGCTGCGTGTAGGGCACAGTTATGAATCCCAGAAATCAATGTATTTGTGATAAAATAAAAATTGGAAACATAGAATTATTTGCATCATCATATTATTTGCACCGTATTATTTGCATCTGATGCAGTCATTCACAGGTTTAAAAGTACGTGGACTTGAGTTTTTTCTACATCAGTTGTGTAAATGCACACATCAGTTTGCATCAGTTCAAGAGGCAAGAAAATGCCGCAAGGAATTGATTCTGGATTTCGCGTCCGGAATTTTCACGAGTGACGGTATATATTGGCTTCCAGCACGCCAAACTTTCTCGCAAGGTGGGACCATATTATACTGGTTCGTGTTGAATTCAGACGTATAGTTCCGAAGTGCCTCGGGAAGAAAAACAAATTCATTCGAATGTGAGACGCACTTTCTTGCAAAAATTGGCTTTCAAAATCATCAGGGTGTTCCTGCATGCTGGCGTTGTAATTTCGTAATGTAAATTTAAAGATGTCTTGCTGGATTCACCGTCAGCAAAAAGTAATTCCTCGCATCCTAATCCGTGAAATTTTTTCAAATGAGAAATTTCTCGAACTTGAAATCCTTTCACCATCATTTTCTGTTCATGAGCTGAAACTAATGAATTTTTTAAATCGTTTCAGAAGATTAAACTGGTAATGCATATTTGAAGCTGGGGTATAGAATCAAATTTTCTTCGATCTTCCTGATCAAAGAAATTGGGGAAACGCGTCTTGCATTCACAGGGGTTTTCTTTTTTAGGTGTTGAAAATATGGGAGGTGCATCCTATAATCGATGATGATGATGGCTAATATGGGGCGAAAAAATTGCGGTCATTGATGATTTTACTTCGTTTTCAGCATACGGCAAGGAGAAAAGGGAGCAGTCAGCATCGGATTGCTGGGCAGCAGTGCGGCGATCAACGTCGGCGAGCCAGCCGACTCTGAACCACCAGCAATCCCGCTGGACAGCACCCAGTCGTCGGCAATTGTGGCTGACCAGAAAAATTCAAGACCCCGCATTTGAAGCCATGACAAGCAAGCGACACAGCGTCGAACTGTCACTAGATCTCCTGGAAGACCAAATGGAATGCCTCGTTTGCCTAGACCCGACCTTCTCCCCGCCAGTGTACCAATGCTGCAACGGACACCTCGTATGCTTCCATTGCAAAATGAGGCTGGAAAACAACGCCGAGTCCGGGGACAATGCGCGATCCGGGCCCGAGTGCCCGACGTGTAAGGCACCGGTGAGCAGTCGGAATAGGATCGTGGAGAACCTGATCATCAACCTCAAGAAGGAGTGTTGTTATGAGCCGTTCGGGTGTCAGACACGGTTCCTCTTGTCCGAGTTGGAGACGCATGAGCGGCAATGCGACTTCCGCCAGATTCAGTGTCCGATCAGCAGGGTGGACAAGAGCTGCACCCACAAGGCTAGGCCCGCGGATATGGACGAACACTTGTCCAACAAGCACCGGGATCTCATTCTGACGCAGTCCGGGGAACGGGTCATTTGGAAGCTCCAGCGCCTCGATGATTACGTGAAGCGGCCCTCGGAATCATTTTGTCTCCAGCTGGCTTTGAAGCGCTCCTTCCTTGTTCAAATCAAGACGGACGAACGGCACAATTTCCATTTTGGCGTGTCGCTGGTCGGTAAGTTGGCGGAGGCGGGGAATTACTTCTTTTCCCTGGAGTTTCGCGCTGGCTGCGCGCATTTCCTGCACAGGGACCTCGTCCAGCCCGTGGATCAGGGCATCGACGAACTCATCCACCTCGGCAATTCCGTCGAGCTCACCCCGGGTTTCCTGCGGAAATTCCTTGACTCGAAGTTCCGACTTCCTTTCGCCATCACTGTTCACGGGTCCGTGGATTCATCCGTCGACAGCATCGGGGACCAAACTGATCATCCTCCGCTCGTCAAAGTCCTGAGCAACGCAGCAGCAGCAGCAGCAGCCGAAGCCGCGAATCCGGAAGTTGGAGCGGAAGGAGGTGATCCGGATACGTCGATCGGGGAGAAACGGGAAGAAGAGGAAGATCCCGATGAAGTTTTCGACAACATGCCACATGTGGATGACGATGCCATTGGGATGTCGAATCGCGTCGTGGTTTCGACGTCCGAGTTGTCGTGTCTCGGGCGTCGAGGCTCGCTTTTGCCGGATCTTTCCGCGCCGCGGACAAATGCCGTTCGGCGCAGGGTTTCTTTTGAGTGAAAAATGCTCCCGAAGTTTTCAAAGATCCCCTCTTCGTCAGTTTCCTAAGTTTCGCGTCATATTTTTTCAGGTAGCTCACATCTGGCTTCACGCTCCTATGCAACGGTACTTCGGGTAATGCACTTGATCCGTTCCAGTGGGAAATCCATTATCCGAAAAATCCATCACGCGGAGTAAAATTAAGCTATGCGGATTGTACCGTGAACTTCGTTTTCTGACCCCCCTCCCCCAAACTAAAGTCCTGCGATTAAGTTTACAGAATAGCTGATCCGTTCCAGATCTCTCAGAAATGCCCTTCACAAAGTCTGGAGTAGATAAATATAAATTTTGATTTAAAATACAGTATGAAATAAAAGCAAATGAAACAACCATAAAACCCGATGTTTCACTTGAATATCCCTTTTCATGCAGTCTATTATATCCACAGAAAAAAATCGATGGGAGCCCGAATTCATTGTGCAAAAAATCCCTTTTATCAGGTGTCCATTTTTTCGGCGGGGTACCAGTTTGGTTGCTTGGCAGTGTATCAGCTGAGAAAGCTAAATTTGTATGCACTGTTATTCATTCAATTGAAGCAAATTTTAAGTTTTGATCAAATGTAACCATATTGATACGTGCCTTACCAGAACATTAGAATGCACCATTCCAAAGTTATCCTATTTTTATAGCATTATGTACCACTCATGTATTTTACTTTATTATACCACACCGTTTCAATTCTACAAATAAATAACGCTTTTCAATTTTGATTGGTGCCTATATACGAGGCAATTGATCACTTCACAAACTTCACACCACCGACGAAGTTTTTCACTTTTCGAAATGGCTTTAAAATTTAAAATGTAAACTCTAATTGCTCTCCGTATTAGTGGTAACTGCTGGATTCAATTTCCTGAATCGTAAAATAAACGAAAGCCACATATTAAAAAAAGCTGTGGCTACAGCCTCGTCGATTAAAAACTGTACCATGCATCTTAGAACATGTTTTAAATGTTGGCTCTATCTATTTATGTTTTAAAGAATATCCACTAACGAAAACAAAGGATTCAGAAATGAACTCTAATTCTAGAACAATCAAATATGTCATTGGAAATTTAAGCGGCTTAGAGTAAAATTGTAGATTCCATTTTTCCGGTCAAAAAATCGAAATTTGCTCGCAGTAATCAAGTGTACAGGGTAAAGTAATGTTCGTATAATTGGACTTCTCTGTATCTTCCAAATCGACGAACATGCAGAATATTTTCCTATTTTGTTAGAAAACTATGTTGTATTAAATGTGGCTGCATTATTTTCAGTCTTGAATTTATTTTCGTCGTTTGCATCCCAAAGAAAATCTATTTCAACTCCATCTATACGAAAGGGCCACGATCGCCTCCATACGTTCTGAATTTGTGATACCTTGTGTTGATATGCAAGTGATTTTAGTGGCGCACTGTAGAAAACGAACTTTCTACGATGCTGGTGCATCTGTCAGGGTGTGATTAATTCTTCGATTTCGTGTGCATTCCTGGTTCCAAAAATCATTGATTTTTCGGAAAAAAAAGCCAAATTATAATCTGAAGTCCGTGGGGGAAAAAAGCATCAGTATTTTAACCCGGAATGGAGTCTTTTGTTGTTACTCTCTTCAATCCGCAGAACCAGCGGGCGATAAGTACTGGCTCATGTCTGTTTTCGAAGTAAGCATAGTTCGGCAGAGCTCGGGATGATTAATTCCTCTCGTGCTGCCGGTCGTTTCCGACGAGGCTCATTTGCAACGCCTTTTGGCGATGGTGGGCTAACGAGGACAAACCCTCGGCGACATTAATTCAGTAATATGAAATCTTAAGGCCAACGTTTCATGCTCAAGGTACGATGGCTCTCGTTATATTGTACTGTATAGTTATGCCTGTGGAATTATGATGGGTATCGTCAATTTATGAACCCTCGGCGCGCAAACCGCCGGTCCACAAAAACTTTCTTCCGGTCCGCACGGGGAAAGTTCCGAATTTATAAATTGGTATGCTTTGTCTGATTCAGGCCATGAGTCGATCTGCGAATTCAATTGCAGTTTTTGTGTGAAGTGTGAAATTTTTTTCAAGGATTTTACTTTTTGTTGTGCCTTTCAACCCCAAGCGCTTCTCAGCTATAGAGAATACGTTGTTTCTAACCATATGATCGCTGCTTTACTCATATCAACCACCTTTTTGTAAGGAACAGATTTCCTCGAGCGTCTTTCATAAAAGGTGCATTCTAAATCAAATTGTGTCTCTTTTTCCAATGTTCAGAAGTATTATACACGCACTCCAATAGAACGATTAGCCAAGGAACAAAATAATTTGAATTTTCATACGATTTCTTTAGTATAGTTACGCGTCAATTTCAGAGAATAAATCGACTTCCATTTTGCCACTGAATCAGCAGTGGAGTTCATTGGACAAATTGAACTTTTGAGCTTCAACTTTCTTCCCTTTCAAATAGAAGAATCCTCCCACATTCGAAATTCTCAGGTCACTCAATTGAGTTAATTGCAAGCGTCATCAATGGTCCCTGATAAATCATGAATGCAATCCAAAATAAAGACGAGGTAACAGGTGCCTGTCTTCAGATTCGTATCCAGAAGCTAAAAATGAACTGAATATAACTTTCCTTTCACGCTTTCCGTCACACACTATTTTTATTCGTGCTTCTCGAAGAATACGATGATCTGGTCATCGGATGAAAATTTCCAAACACAGTGAGGCCCCCACATTCGGACACCTCGACATGGGGACAATTCGACCTATAGGGACATTTATTTTTCAGTAAAAGATCATAAAAAAGGCCCGACATAGGGACACTGACTCGACATGAGGACGTTGCATTATAAAATTTCCAATATATTTTATGAAACTTGACTTTAATTAGGCTTAATTGCAAGAAACAGATATTTCCAACCCTAAGATCTATGTAAGAAAAATTCTTTGGTACTTTTCCCATCACTTTCCCATACAGCTAACTTGAAAAAATTACATGTAGCACAGACGGACTTCCTTATCTTTTTGTGACTTGGATGTCATTTTTACAGATGCCAACATTCCAATGAATTGTAGTTGTACAGTGGTATACTATTCAATGTTCCAAATGTTCTTATTGGGTTGAAAAGATATTTACTGAATCAAATTCAAGTGGCAAACAAAATTTTTTTCCATGGAATTCTGAAGAATATTTCTTCCATAAAACACAAATTAAAAATTATGTAATGTAAGTCTATGGGAAAACAAGACTTGACTTAGGGACAATTCAACTTACGGACACTCTTGATGCACCAATTATGTCTGCATCTGGGGGTCTCACTGTACTGCCCTGAATGTGAACCCTATCCTGAAAATCAGCCCTATACAATGGAATAAGTCTCTACTCAAGCTATTTTAAGGGAATGCAAAATGCTGTCAGATAAGACTTATTTTTATTCAGCAACGTCCCATGTGACCGCGGTGGATCAGGATATTTTTCAATGAGTAGCGTTGGATTTAATTTTGCGATGTTCGCTCAAAGAAGGTACTGTATAGCGAGCTTCCTCTGGACTTATTGCGAGGAAGCTTTAAAATGTCTTTGAGCTGTGAAGAAATTAAATCTCGGGGCACCGTTCTAACAAAGTTTGCCCACCCCGCTCCCCGATGAGTGTAGTCCTTCAATTTCCAGGGGGTTTCCTTCCTCCCGGAGAGAGCGCGTAACACCGGTGGAACAAAAAAGATATTCCAAACACGCGATGCGAACTGGACGCATCCTGGTTGAACGCTCGTTGCAAGATAAACACCGATGCTGGGATGAACCTCTCCAGGGGTTTTATATAACTACCACTGGCGCATCAAATCAGTGTCGGCTCTGCGTCGGCGCAACGAACCCGAGCCCCGTCGCGATAGACCGACAGATAAAGCGAGGGAAGAAGTCACTCGTCGAGGCTCATTTGCAGGTGAATCACATCTGGAACTTATCACTGTCGCGGACACGGCGGGGTGTGCCCTAAAAGGTGACTCAGGTTCGATGTCTCCATAGCTGCGATGTAATCTATTTATCGAAGAAGGCAAATACAAAAAAGAACATCTGTCCGTCTTCAAGAAAAGTACCACAGCAACAGAGCTAAGATGCATCTGCACATGGTTGAACATTTTAAACCGAGGTTTTTCAGCTGGTGGAGTGCATGTTAGTAATTGGCGAACTTGCCAGGATGGAAGTAAGTACGCGGAATGGCCCATGGAATATCAAGACTGATATTTCCATGATTTACAAGACGAACCGAGTTTACGGAGAGAAATAATATTTTTGGAGGTTGAACACAGTACAGTACATATTATATGAGGCAAAATTTAACTGATTGCGGCAAAGAAGCCCTGAAGGCATAAAATACATGCACAGTAAATAATTAGCCAAGGGACATCCGTAAAATTATGTGGTAAGTGAAAAGATTTTTCTTGAAACAAGAGGGTTTTGGAAGAAAAAACTACTACATGTTCCTCCTCTACTGTAAACCAAGGATAGGTCGTACGTAAATACTTGCAAATATGTTCGATCCTCCAAAATCCCTCGCCCCTATAAAAAGGGTTAGAAAACATTGACGAGGTAAACACATGGGGGCCCAGAACATCAGAAGGAGATATTGTCTAGAAAGGCCACTGTCAGAGGCGGCCGTCAACTGGGTTAAAAATATAATTAAAAATTCCTTGTTGAATTCTTCAAAAAACGTGAAGGGATATCCTTGAAATCATAAGAAGTTTTCCAATTAATTACCGATCTTCATTATCACCAATATTCCAGATCTCGTTCGATCGACGGATGAAATGCTTTACTGCTGTAGCTTCGTATCCCTGGCTCTGGTGAATACTTCCTCATTAGAGCTAAAGTCATGCGCCAGCACTCGATAACGACGGTGAAAAGTTGCTCAACTTATCTTAAAAAAAAATTGGGGACACTGTAATTTGGTGACACGCGTCCCGAACAAAGTCGTGGAAAAAAAGTGATTGGCTCGAAAATTGAGGTTTACG